GAGGCCTTCGAAAAGGCAGTGTCTAATAGAGAGGTAGGATAACCACGCTGGACAAAAAAGTGTCTCATCTCCAGACTTTTGGCCTGAAAATCTTCGTCTTCACTGCAGATGCGGCGAAGACGAAGGAACTGAGAGAAGGGAATCGACCTTAAATGAAAATTATTAATGAAAATTATTAACAAAGTTAATAAAGCGTTCCAATTCGACACGAGAACATGATGCTGTGCCAAGACAGTCATCTATGTACCTACCAAGGTAATCAGGGATGGGAACAGTGTACTGTTCGAAGATTTGTTTTTCCACAAAACCAACAAACAAATTAGCATAGTTGGGTCCCATTTTAGTTCCCATTGCTACTCCATTTATCTGTTGGTAGTGTTCACCATCAAAGGAAAAATTGTTGCGGGTAAGCACCAACTCAGCCACTCGGATCAAAACAGAAGTGGACGGTTCCTGGTTAGGGCGTTTATCTAGAAAGAATTTGAGGGCCCTTAAACCATCATGATGCGGAATGACAGTGTATAAGGATTTGACGTCCATGGTGAAAATTAATTTGTGAGTGCCATGAAAATGAATGTTCTGGAGAATTTGAAGAGCATGCTTGGTATCCTTGATATAGGATGGTAAGTCCTTAACCAAGGGTGCCATGACACGATCGAGAAAACTGGAGATGAGTTCGGTCACGTCGGTGGGACAACCACAAGCAGATACAATAGGTCTACCTGGGTTGTCAGGTTTGTGAATTTTGGGCAAGAAGTACATGACAAGTGTGCGAGGTGTGATGTGTACGAGGTTTTTAGCAGTCTCAAGGAGATCACCAGTTTTGATGAAGTTATGAATGGTCTGAGTGATGGTGGTTTAATGAATGGAAGTCAAATCCTTGTCAACCCTCCTGTAAAAAGTGGCGTCACCCAATTGTCGGTGGGCTTCATTACGATATAAATCAGCTCTCCAAATAACTAAGGCACCACCCTTATCAGCAGGTTTGATAACAATGTAGAAACGTCTACTTCGAACGTGTAACCTGACGGCAAGATGGCTGTCACGTGATTTTTACCCGTTTGCGGTTAGCGGGAAATACGAAAATACGTCAATCTAAAACCCTCTAATGTTGATATGGGGTTAGTATTGCATTTGAAACAAACTATTCATTTATCTGTTCGAAAACAATCTTTTTAAAAATCTTAGATATAGTAGCCAAAATAGATATTGGCCTATAATTGCTGCGAATGCATTCATCTCGATTTCCTGATTTATAGATAGGCGATACTCTTGCGTTCTTCCAATCACTAGGAAATATTCCTTCGGCCAAGGATAAGTTGAAGATAAGATTAAGAAATGGAGTGACAACAGCTCTGTATCTTTTAAAAGTTTACCAGGTATTTTATCTAACCCGAGAGTCAGACAGTAAACCACAAATTGACAGTTGTGGGACATCTTAATCTTTAAACTCTTTGCCTACTCGTGCATGTAAGCTATGTTAATTGAGCCTATGTAATATGAATAAGTATATACAATTTTTTTAAAAAAATGAAAGAATGAAAGAATAGCATTAGCCGGGTTTCTCTTGTTACATCATAAGCAATATCATGTAATTTTACATATATTAAATATTATTATCACTATAAACTTAAAAGCTTATAGTGATAATAATATTTAATATATGTAAAATTACATGATATTGCTTATGATGTAACAAGAGAAACCCGGCAAATGCTATTATTTCATTCTTTGTCATCACAATATTCAATAAGCTGCTCCGCTGTGAATCACTATAGGCAGTATATAGCGTAAACTAAATGTTACCAGATACAGAAAGAACTTATATATATTCTTTAATAGACTACGTTTACACTAGAGCAAAAGTTTCCGGATTTGTAAAAGTATCCGGATTCCTTGTTTTTCAAGTATATATGGATCCGCGAGGCTAAGTTTACACTACGCGTACACAGCCCGACACAGCGGTGCCGGTCAATATAACGTAAATAATTTTAACCCTCTCAGTGATATTATGCGATGTTTTGACCTTGTTTGGCGGTTGAATTTAATAGCAATACATTTGAAAAACATACACCGGAACAAATTGATTCAGATTCTTTACGGAAGGCCGTTTACACGAGTTTTCTCCGGATTCAAATGTTTCCGGATACAAAGTTTCTACTTTTTTCCCGGATTCAAAGTTTTCGGATACGTCCTACAAACCGAGATGATTTTCCACCGGATTCGTCGCTGTATGTGTAAACGCATGTATGAATCCGATGCCAAAACGTTTCGGTTTTGTCATGAATACGGAATCTTTCGCTCTAGTTTAAACGGCGTCTTAAAAATTTAAGCTAAGAAATATCCCACAATGATCATCAAACAGAGAATAAATTTCGCGGCCATGACACGCACTGTGGCACTGGTGCAAAGATCGGTGGTACAGCAGGTCTCAGAGCATGATGTGATATTAAATTGACCACTGTTTCTTTGCCTTTGGCATGCTTCGCCACTATTTGGACAATATTTTTCGTTGGGAATGTTGTCACAGCCTCGTCGAACAGCAGATATGCCTTTACTCGTGGTATAAGAAACAGAATAACAGTATGTAGTTGGACAATCAACTGTAATATTGTTACAGTATTGTAGAGATGTCGGTACCGGTAGGTTCGAACTGTAAAAACACGCGTAGCATTTCAGGGCACACCCTACGATGATAAATATGTTATTAATATGCAATTACTGAATGACGCAACATCCACAAATTTTGTTGTTATTTTAAATAAATAACGTACATTAAGATACGAATTACGGCGCTGAATTCAAAATACAATACGGCATGCTATTTATACATATCGTGGGTTAATACAGTCAAAATACAAGAACCATCCCACTCCTGTAACTTGTTTTGTATTTCTGTAATTTGTTCTACTTTTCTGTAGCGATTACCGCCTTTTCGGCAAATATCGCGGTAGAATTTCCCTTTCTTTCCTTTACATACGTCAATTTGTAGCAAAGGATATACTGTATACCTTTCGTTAGATTCTTTCCATAAAAGAAATAGAGATTTTGATTTTAGTACATCAAATGATTGTAGTCGGTAATTTTAAATTTGTATAGTATGACTGATCAACACACTATGTCTATGAGCGGCGGTTTAAAACCGATTTATCAGCAAATATCGCTATAAGATCTACGTTTCGCGACTTTTATGCAAAGGTGTATCCATTGCTACAAATCAACGTATATAAAGGAAGGAAAGCAAAATTCTACAGGACCCTACCGCGCCATATTTGCCGATAAAGCGGTATAAATCGCTACAAAAAAAATAGAACATTTTACAGAAATACAAAACAAGTTACAGAAGCGGAAGTGTTCTTGTATTCTGACTGTAATAAATTATTTCCTTACCCATGGTTGAGAAGGTCAACACTATTGCCAAAACGACAAATATTTTGTAACACATATTCTGGCTGCTGTTTCTTTTTAAAGCGACTCTTACCCTGGTTCCAGAGGCTCTGCGAGGCGGAAAGAAACCAGAGGCGAGAAAGAAGAGCCTCACTTGATTAATAGCAGAGCTTGATTAGGTTCAGAATTTGAATCTCGCATGTGATTGGCCATTTGTAAAAATATGTCAAACCGGTTTGGGAAATAAACATTCCCGTCCATCTTGTGGACGGGAAATCTGATTGGTTGATCAGCATCATGAAAGATTTTGATTGTTGGTTGTTGGAGTCCACATCAACAATATTTTATAAATAGGTCGGTCAAGGTTAATCTCGAAACCACGCAGAGCCTGCAATCCTCTGAGGAGGCTTGCTGAGGCTCTGGGAAACACCAGCGAAAGTCGGGCTCTGATTGGTTGTTTTTCAAGTGCTAATTATTATTCAAACTGTGAGCCGTATTTAGTGATTCAAATTTCAAACATCGTTTAAAATTAATATAAAGTTTATTTCTCTTTGTGTATTATGTTTAAACATATCAATGAAACACACAGCATAACTTTAATAAATTTATTAAGCTTTCCTATGTTCTCATATGAAATCAAAACGCTATTCTGTTATTGATATGCCAATAACAAAATTAGAATAACAACAGTGCAGCATTTAATACCATATTAGGAGGTGATGTAAAGTCCGTAATGTAAACAGACGCTTTGTTTACATTTTGAACTCAGTACTACTAGTCCAGGAGGAGAAAGGGGGGTATCGTAACCCGAGCAGGGAATTTATGAGAATATGTGACTTTGGTCAATTTTGGGGCGCTGATTTCAAAAATTGATGTTATACGGGCCAATACCGGGGCCTTTAGCCTCGTTTTGATGCATATAGCCTCGTTTTGGGGCATACATAGGGAACACGTTAGTTGTCTTAGTTAGCTAGGGAAACCAGTGATTTTGGTCAATTTCAGTGCGCTGATTTCAAAAATCGATGTTACACGAGCGAATACCAAGGCCTTCAGCCTCCTTTTGGTGCATGCAGCCTCGTTTTGGTGCAAATAGATGGAAATCATTAGTTAGCTTAGATAGGCAAAGTCGTTGGTGATCTTGGTCAATTTCGGTGCGCTGATTTCAAAAATTGACGTTACACAGCAAAATACCGAGGCCTTCAGCCTCGTTTTGGTGCGTACAGCCTCGTTTTGGTGCCTACATATGTGCCTTAGATAGCCAAGGAAGTTGGTGATTTTGCTCAATTTCGGTGCGCTAATTTCAAAAATCGAAG